TTTGGCTTTGTTTGTATTAAACTAATAGGTAATATGCGAGATAATATGTAAAACTATTTTATATCATCCTATTGCAGATGAATGAGTATGAATATACCTATTTTCTATTTACATTACACTTTCTACTACAGACTCTAAAAAAGGCAATCCTGGTTACATACGGCAAGGTAATCCTGGTTTTATACCACACAGGAAAGATGCTTTATTAAAACAAAATCTGACCTAAATTATTATTTGTGAAAATAAGCATGGCGCCGTCACAAAAGGGCAAGGGGGCGTCCAGCCTCTCTCTGGATTTGTGATTTTGGATTTTTCGCCAAGGCTTTCGACTACAGCCTACGGCGTTTTGATGCTGTCTATAAGACTTACCCTCCTGAAAATACATGTTTTATGTTATATATTCTAATTGATGAAATTTAAGTGTACAGAAAATTAGTGAAAGTAAAACCTAACATAACCTCAATTAGATATGTTTAAATTAAATTAAATTAAATTAAAGGAATTATTAGCAATAAATTAAGATTTTTAATAGTAAATAAATTGAAAGACAACAAATATGTATGATTAAAATGTTACTAATTAAAATATCAGACTGTACCATTTATTAAAATATTTTACTTTGTTAATTATTAATAGTTAACGATTTAAATATTATTAATAAGTTATAAAGTTAAATATAACGTATGTGTTAACATTTAAATGTTTGATAACGAATAAACCCTTTACTTGTGGTGAGTGTTATATATAACGTTAAAGTTTTGTTTTTATTAAAGTTGCGTTAATAAAAATGAATCTCCTTAATATTAAAAACATCACCCATAAATAAATCAGTTTGTTAACTACATAACTATTTTTTTTTTCTGTGTAGAAATATCATCAAAATTTCTAAGACATTGTCATTAGAATGAGATATCGTCGGTTTGGAAGAAGATTATTGTATATCAAAAAAGTACAATTTTGAGCATTTAAATTTTAAAATGTTGGCTTCATAACTATAGATAGGCTATAGTAATTGTTTCATTTATTATTTTCCTTTCTGTCTTAAAAAGGTACTCCCTAGTATTTAAAGTTTTCTCTTTCCGTTTTGAGTTACTAGTTTTCAAAGAAAAAAATAATCATTATCATTCGGACTTTAGGTGTTAATGAAGATACAATCTTGGTGTAATTTTAAATGGTTTATTCTTATACAATAATTTAAACACGTGTTAGATTGTAGACGTTCAACTTGGACACAGTAAAAAGATGATGAGTCACCTTGAGGACACAGAAGTGCTGCTTGCAAATCATAAAGAGTAGTAACACAGGGTCTTCTTTATCTTTCTGTTTTTCAAATCTTGATAGTCTTTTTTCTTCCATATGCTTTTCATAATAGCTTTAAAGTTTTTCCTTTCCATCATCTGCAGAGTTTTTACGTTCACAAAAATTACAGGCTTTTTTTTTTAATGCGGAATGAAATATTGGACTCTCTGGCTCTACTGTGTCCACTACCGATTATTGTTTCTTTCGCAGAATTGTCTGGATTATCTGAGAATTGATTCCAAGAGTCGACATGAAAAACTTTTAACACACACTTTTTTTCTATCAGCATAATTGAAATAAAACGCTTTGTTAAGATCACGATGTTCTTTTATATCCTTCTCATATCTGCATCGTGGTTGTATAGTTGTAAGACATGACGCTACAAACATTCCTTGCTCATTAATATCGCCAATTCGCTAATAATTATCAAAGATGGTTGGTCGTTGTACTTGAACAAATTTTGAGAAACACTTTAAACGGTACATGTTCTCATCACAAAAAGGTCCCATTTGTAGCTTCTCTATCAACTAATACACGTTTCTCTATCCCATCTATTTTTGAAACTTTCATTGAGGAGTACCTCAAAGTTTTGGCTATATTTTTCTGCCACTGTTCCTGTTTTCTTTTTCGTTTCGTGTCGTTTTCCCTGGGAAGTCCTGGATTTTCGACAGTTCAGCCTGAGATACCCTTGAAGAGCCGTGTTCCCGTATGCAGTTATCAGAATCTTCGTCATCTGATTCTGAAGAACTTGCCATTGCAGAATAATTAGAATCACTATAGAAGTCATCTGCAATAGATGATGATATACTTGATGAACATGAGGAACCGACATTTTGCGTTTTATCACCTGGGCTAGGTGTGATGATAATGCCTCCTTCAGATTCTCCATTACCTGAGTTACTTTCGTTGAATACAGTAATTTTGTTTTCCATCTTGTCCACAATAGAATCAGCAATGTTGTCTGGAGGATAGTGGATCTTAATTCCGTGCTGTTTTTCTTATTATCACCTGTAGTCACCTCATTACAATATATCTTAAATTAAAAACAATATAAAACAGCACTTACCTTATAGAAAATGGAAAAAGTAATAATATTCTCTAAAGTTTTTTACTAATAACGGCTCACTGAAGTATCACAATTTGAGATATAACCGTATTCTTCAAAGTAAACCGTTCTTTTCACCTAAACAGCCTTTACACAATTGGTATGGTCTCTCTAAAAGGTTGATCTACTTTTGTGAGAGTCTTTTGCAAACATTTTGAACCAATTTTAAGATATTTATTGAAAAAAAAAACCGTTTCTTGACATAATATAGTTTTCTTCTTATGTTTAAGATACCTAGTAAATATTTTAGGTTATGTAGGTTATTTATCTATTTTCTCTCTGATTGCCTTTTCAATTTATTTTTCTACACGGTATTATCAGTTATATCATTAAAAAATTATTATTAATAAGAGTTGTCTAAAATAAGAAATCATATCACCAGATATAGTTTTCTAGGTATTACTTATTCAATTTTAAATTATATACCTACATCCAAATTCCTACTATTGCTAAAAAAAATATATTATTTTTGCACTTGTTTCGGATGATTATTACATATCGAATTTATTGTTTTTGTTTCATATGTAACGTGCATTTTAAGCAGCTCAAATTACTCGAGTTTAAATTCGTCTAACCTTGTCTAAATAAACGGAAAAAAGTTAAGCCGTTATTTAATACTGATATAAGTTTTATTATTTAATTCCTCTTATCAATAGACAAGAGTGTGGTATTTTATTCGTAGTACCAGAGTTGTACATTTTATTGTTGTAGTTTTGGAGCAAACTTGGTTGTTACAATTATATACATTCACTTAAAAGAAAACAATGTTTCGTTGTGAGTTCATATAGATTGTTATCATCTTACCTTAAGAAAATTAGTTATTAACAAGCCAATAACAACGAATTTGTTTACTACCTCCTAATTAATTAATTATTCATTTCTATTGATATAATTAATATTATTCTTTAATATGACCTTTTGTTAAAGTTTTAGATGTCAAACATGCTAATCTGCGAATAGGTGTATGTTTGACGTGAAGTCAGTTGACAGAACACGAGAATACGGTGTCAGTGAGTTAAACGTCATTTATCATACGTGGCGCGTTTGTTTTAATGATATTTTGTGATATTCGCTGTACCAGAGGCGCGTTCGTTTTTAGTTGTAGTTTTGTGAAGTTCGGTGTGCGTTAGGAGATTTTTCGTGATCAGTTTTTTACCGATTGTTATCAGGAGAGAATTTTAAAAATATTGTTTTATTGTACATAGTTATATTTTTGTTAATTTCTTGGAATCTGTTAGGTCTGTGAGACATATTGCTAAATGACTGGTTTTTTAAGAAATTTCTGAACCCACTTGGCTTGTCATTTTCAAGCAGTAGACAACGTGGAGAGTTTTGTTGATTAGGTCTTTTTCGAGGGTTGAAAAAGGAAGAGACGTTGTTAATTATTGTCGTCTAGGGAAAATCTATTGTGAAAGTAAGGTTATTAGATTTTGGGGAAGTGTTTTAGATAAATTTCCATCCCTTTTCACACCCGCTAGGGGATTTGAACGGTATATAATTGTAAGTATGACTACTTTCAATAGTTTTTGAGTTACTAGTTCGTTGTTTAAGATAAGGAAGTTTACCGGCATTTGAGTTTTGTAATATTGAAGTGGATTCTTCAAGAATAGTTGCTGTAGACTGTCCCACTTTTTGTCAACCTTGGAAAGCTACCAGTTGATACCTTTACATAAAAGGTTGAATATATTTGGTAATATTGTATATCTTTTGATTGTAGACTTTTTATGTTGTTGCCTGGTGCACAATAATTGTAATTTTATGAGTGCATCATACTGTTTATTACTTTTGGCGAGTCAATATTTGGTATAATTAATTGCATAGTTTGGGAAACTTGAGTCAATTTGTATCCACACATTTTGTAATATTTTAAGGGTTCACTTGCAGGGTTCGCCTATAGAATTTCAACTCCAGGTTTTTACCCAGAGGTTTTAACCTTGAGTTCAATCGTAGGGATACAGTACACCGGTTTACCAGACCATTGGAACGTATATTCGTGGTTCATTACTGGTACATTACTTATCACTGGTTTTACATATATGGGAAGATCGTCATACTGTCAATGAAGACACCCGGCTATCAGGTTTTTTTCATATAATATTGAGGTTTTTATGTGGCACTGTGCCTGCTAATTTGTTTGATTAAACATTCAACTCTTTCTAAACGAAAGTTCTTAAGGTATTCTCAACATTATTTTTACTTTTGCATACAGAATGTTCCAGTTGGTTTCTAACTTGTGTTACCAAATATTGTTACATAATTTAATTAATTAAGCACTTAATGATCTGAGTAGTAGCTAAATACAATCAATTAGTGACGAGCAAGACTCGTCTTGGTCTTGCTTTTTTGCAAGACCAAGACTAGCTAAAAGCTTCCGACCAAGACCGAGTGTACAAGACCAAGACAAAGTGGTGCAAGACTTACGCAAGATCAAGACTCTTGCGGTATTGCGTTCCTTAATTGTTGCCTGAAAATAAAAGGTAAGTATATAAACATTCGTCTCGAAAAACCTTGGTTTTCGATATATAGGGTGTGTCTTTAGAAATGTGTAACAGTTAATCGTACTGAAGTAGATGAAAAGCTTATTTTTGGTTTTCAGGCTGCTCGTGATACAATTATAAAGCATGATAAGAAGACAAACTGGATTTACTGCTCCACTCTAATACTGGATCCCAGGCATAAAGCAGAAACTTTCGATTTAACTGTTTGGGGAACTGAGTTAAAAGTACAAACTTTAAAGACATTTGAGTTAATATTCGATGTTTACTGTAGCCAGGATAGAGTGATAGAATCATTTACAAAAGAGAAGATCGACTCCACATCAAGTGACGATGACGATGAACATATAGATTTCAACCATTTCTATCCTGCACCAGGTACTTCATCCGGCTCTGGTATATCTGGATCTGGCTCCCAAAACCAAAGAAAGGCAATAGGCGATTATCTTAGTCAGCCTAGTCAACAGTAAGCAACGAAGATATTTTAGAATGGTGGAAACGTCATCAGTTCCAATTTCCTCTCTTAGCGAAAATGGCACGTGATTTTCTGTCCATTCCAGCAACTTCGGTTCCTGCCGAAAGACTTTTTGCAAAAGCAGCATTAGTGATACGCAAACATCGTAAAAGACTAAACAATGAATCTGCCCGTTGGCTTCTTTGCATTAATTCTTGGCAACAGCAATAAAATAATCTATCACTTGTTCACTTCATAATTTAGTCTATTTTTTATTACATTTAATACATTTGGTATTATATAGTTTTGTTTAATATAGACAAATTTTAATCATTGTTGTTTTTTTTTAATGTCCGTATGTTTAAATCGTTTAGACCCAGTATTTTATGCCAGTATGCTATGCATCTATACTTTTTATTTTAATCCCATACGTCTGGAAGATCCAGGTTCAATTATCGGTCGCAGTTTTTGTTGATTTAAAGGATACAATTTTTGTTTTTTATTGGATTGTTGGATATGCAAAAAAAATATTTGAAATAAAAGAATACACAAAATATGTTAAATATAAATAAATATCGAATTGTTGGGAATATAGCCACATATTTTATTTGCCGTTTTTTTTTTATACTAAGTTTTAAAAAAAATTAAGCTTTTATTCTTTTTTCGTATTCAAGTGAACAACATATAAAAATTACTAATTGACACATTTATAATTTTAATTTTTAAAACTGTTTACAGCTTTTTACATGCTGTACATTAAGTTTATACTTAAAAACTAAATAATAATATCTTTGGAAAGGTTTAATAAAAAAGGTTTGAATAAAAAATATATGTGGTTTATTTACAATTACAAACCACAAGCTTTAGAAGATGATAACTATATTTACTGTTTGCGTAGAAGTTCCTGATTTTATAATGTGCATTAAGCCTCTAATGGCAATAATTTATACAGGGTGTTTCATTATTAACTACAAATAGAGAACACTTAGGTGATATCATAAAAACTCTTTTCGGTGCTGGAAAATGTTGTAAAATACTATAATTCACAGAACAACACGTTTTTTGTGTACAAAGTAGCAGTATTTAAAATTTACCAAAAAATGCAAGACTCGCAAGACTCTTGCAGCAAGACCAAGACCAGCTGAAGGCTTGCAAGACCAAGACCGAGTGTGCAAAACCAAGACCAAGCCCAAGACCAACCCGGTCTTGGTCTTGTTTTGCTCATCACTACAATCAATTATTTCAAAATGTAGTTAATTAAGCCCTTAGTGTATTTTTCTAAATAATGACCCTAAATACTTCGGATCTAAAGGTTACGGTCAACATTTAACTTTTTAGATTTCTTTTTTAATTATTCATACAAAAAGTCTTAGAAGACCCATAAAGGGCAGAGATTAAATAAAATTCTTCCAATCTGAGAGTTTTTGTGTTTTTTATGGTAGAATTTCATGGTTTTTTAAATATTCTTCATAAATAATTTGGTCTTAACTATGAGTTAAGCAAGTAACTTCTTCCAATTTGGAGAGTGTTAGTAGTATATTGTATTCCAAAATTTGAAATGGCTGTTTATAAATAGGTATGAATGTGCACACGTTCGTATATTATATTGATTTTATGGTAATAGTGTATAATGTAAAAAGATAAAAGTTAATATTTTACAATATTTTGCTTAACATCTTGCGCAAATCGTCCTACGCTTGGTACCATGCTAATGACTGGAGTTCCTGCATAATACATATATCAGTTAATTTAGTACTTTATCTAGTTTTTTTTAGTTTATCTAGTTATGAATTCACCATAAACCGTAGGATAATTTTTTTTATAAAGTACTTGAATAATTTAAATATTTTAATGATTTGGTTCTTGAACAATAATTTTTGAATTTGTTTAACGACAAACATATTAGGTTTGTTCGTTGCTTAATTACTAATTTATAATTTGTTATTATTTACATATTTGGGTAAATTTGTTTAATTCAATATAAAGGAACATAAGTTTGAGGCTTTTATTTCTTTCCTCATTTACTGGATGGGGAAATAAGAACATAGTTTTGCCATTATAGGGACCCAGTTGGGGCCCATGAATTTGTCTATTATTTCTGGAATTTCTAGCTACCGTTTAGGCGACGCCAAAGGTCCAAAGGTTGACATCGGAACAGCCGAAACTTATGTGACCAGGTAGACCAAATTTTTATTAATAATTTTAATTTTTTTTAAGTTTAATTTTAGGCAATTCTCCTCTGGAAGTTGCTAAGTACATTAGGTAGGTTACACATATATCATATTATTTTATTTCTAAAATTGAAGGAAACATTTCTGGATCCGGCTCTGTGTATTGATCGCATTCCCTCTCATCCCGATGAGTCAGAGATTGAATAATATATCTAAAGTTCGCGTGGTGCGTATTTCTTAGCTCAACAACAAACATACTTTTGTCTTTGTATTTATATAGAAATGTGATACTGTTTAGTGGTTAAATTAATACTTAGATAATAGGGAAAATCTTGGAAATATAGTCTTTGGTTTAATGACTGTACAGTGCGTAATGCGTAAGTGGGTATAGATTTTCAAAACGTTAATGCAACGGTAAATATGTTATTAAATATATAGAAATAAAGAAAATTTGATCCAACTTCCAAAATTACCGCTAGAAACCTTAAAATAACATATACTTTTTTAATGTAAGGGACAATGTTATCTAGTTAATCTGGGAAGGTTCTAATTTTCTAAAAGTTGTGGATCTAAACAAAATTGAATATGGTTTTTGAAGTCAGTAGTGTTCGAGATAAAGCTAGATATTTAAAAAATTCAGATTCGGTCAGTTATTAACGATATTTATTTTTGAAAAGACTATTGGGTAAAGACATTTTTGCTAATATGATAGAAACTTTACGCAATCACAGAAACTTTACATAATCAGTGTCCTATGCCACCATTAAAAACTAGATTTCAGAATTTAAGAGAAAAGGACCAATTTTTGAGACCACTCCGGAAAGCAAGGGCATGCAAAATTTTGGGACCAAAAGGGATTGTATTGTTGTGCGAGTCATTTTCTACCAGTTTGGCATATTCTAACTCCTTAAGTACATCTCTGCCTTATTTAGGCCTCTTGCGGCCTTCACTTCTCTGATTACCAAGAATGTTCGATATAATAAGATAACACCCGAAACTACTCTATCTGTATCTGTAACGTGTGGAGGGTGGGTTACCCCCACGGCACTCAGGCCTCATAAGGCCCATTGTGCATCCTCCTGAGATGATAGGCACCTCCTAGCTCGTGAGCCAGCCCACAGATTTAATTTAGTTGACAACGTCGCCAAGAGGTGCTTCTCTTATATCGGCCGGTGTTAGCCGATACTCGTCGAACACAATCTTCTAATAAATGAGAACGTCGAGCAATCGTAAAGGATATGCTTGATGGTCTTATCTTCTTGTTCGCGCCCTCTGCAGAGAGCGGATTCTGACAGCCCCATAATATGGAGATGCTTTCGTAATTGGCAATGTGCAGTCAGAATGCCTGTGACTAGGCGCATATTCTGTCTAGTCATAGTCAAGTATTTGTTTGCTGCAGTATTGTCAGGATAACTTAAGAGCTCCCTGGCAATTCTGCAGTTTCTTGTTTCAGCCCATCTTTCCTTGAATTTCACAAGGGAATATTCGTTGATTAAGTCTGTCACTACTGATTTTGTCAAGCCAATAGAAGAGCAAGGTCCAAAAAGTATTTGGTTGGCTGCTTTCTTGGCTAGTGAATTAGCAAGACGGTTACCTTTCGATATGGCGTGACCTTTGATCCACCTTAAGGTGACCACATTGTTGATGGATACTTCGGCCAAAGCTTCATGACATTCTAGTACTAACCCTGAGTAAATTCGTGGTCTGTTCAGGGTGTGTAGTGCTTGTCTGCTATCTGTATAGATGAGCATGTTACTTCCAGTGACATTGTTTCTGGTTATTGCTTCTGCTGCTATGAGAATCCCCGTTAGCTCTATTTGAACTACACTGGCACTAATACTCAAAGCCCATTTTAGGTTTAGGTTTAAGAATCTGGAGTATATTCCACATGCTGAGCCTTTTGTTTTAGAACCGTCGGTGTAGATACGAATCGTACCTGCCACTTCCGGCTCTCCTATTTGTTCTTTTGTAATTTTATATGGCTTATGGAAGATATATATCGGTGAGATGGAGTTCATGTTCGCTTGAAGCAGTGGGAGCGTATCGAGCGCCTCCTGCCAAAATCGACGTCTCGCCTCACCAGATCCTACATCAGGTTCTATTCCAACCGTGCGGAGGCGTGTCATTGTCGTCAGAGCAACCTCCTTGATGAAAATATCAAGGGGAGTGAGACTAAGAATGACTTCCAAGGCTCTGGTAGGTGTTGTTTTCATGGCTCCTGTTATGTTGAGACATGCTGTTCTTTGAATTTGTTCTAGTTTACGGATAGCTGTTAATTTTTGGGTTTTCGGTACCCAGACAACTGCACCGTATGTTAGCATAGGTCTTATGATAGCTGTGTAGGTGCATGCAACGACTCTGGGGAGAGAAACCCCAGGTACGTCCCACGGTTCGGCAGCATTGTTCATAAACAATGCATGCTCTTCTAACTCTGTTTTCTAAATGCGAGTTCCATGTTAACTTGCTGTCAAAGGTGAGACCTAGATACTTCACCTCTGTTGCAAAGTTTAGTTCTGAAGGTTTTAATTCCATTTTCATCCTTTTCCTTGTGAAAAGGACAATTTCTGTCTTCTTAGGATTGATAGACAGTAAATGGTCCTTGCACCACTGTTCGATAATTTTTAGAACTACTTGCATTCTTTCACAGAGTATGTTCTCAAAATTCTCTGTTTGCAGAATGACCAGGTCAACTGCATATGCTATTGTGTAGTGACTGTTATTATTGAGGCGGCTGATGAGGGTGTTGAAGACCATATTCCACAGTAGAGGTAATAGCACCCCTCCGTGTGGACATCCCCTAGCAACCAATCCTCTTATATTTACGTCTTCTACACTTATGTTTACT